CATTAAAATTTGGCAGCAGTATAGTTAATTCAAAATGTTGAGACTGTAGCACAAGCTCATGTGACAGAAATGCCTATGATTTGGGGTGTACATAGTTATAGATGCACTTTATAATCTGTGTAACCCCTTCTTCTCCTATACTCTGAGCTAACATCAAAGGTATTAAATCAAATTGCAAACAATTACAGCGATTTCTATTCAGGTCGAAAGTGTATTAATTGCAAGATCTGTGATTTACATGTTTCACCTAAATTATTTCAATATGAGACTCTAGGAACAGTTTATTCACTAGTTTATCTTCACTTGCATCACATATTCTACTTGCTTTTTTTTTGTTTTGAGAGCTGTCTCTATCTTAAGATCACAAACACCACAAATCTGGCCAAAAGTCTGGATGCCATTTAGAGGGTGGAGACTTGAGATAGAATGGAAAGGTGAAATTAAGGCAAAACTGACATTCATTACAAGAATATAAATAATAATGATCCTTGCATTTGATGTAGCGCCTTATCACATCTTTGAGACATCTCAAAGTGATTCACAGAATACACTGTAAAGTGAGTTGACTGTATATTTTGTGGACTGTATATTTTACTGATACAACTAGGTCTAAAAATATTTTCATTTTACTTCAGATTTGAACTGGATTCCATTAAAAGAAAAAAAAGGTGCAATGTTAGCAGCAAACTACTGTTCTGAACTGTATAAAAATAACAGCCATTGTCTCAGTTTTTCCAATTGCAGTATGAAAACTCATCAGGTTAATCATAAGCTATTCTACATCTGCTGCCATAGATCGAGTGACTCCACTTATCAGCAAGGCTTATCACTGGATACCAAACAGGAGTGGGAATGCCAGTTGATTTTGCTTCCCTAATCCATAGGACATTTAAAATGTCCCACAATTGCAGCCTCCAAATGAGATTAGCTAATTTAGCACAGACTGCGAATATAAATCTTTAACTATCCTGTTGTTCATGACTGCACCAGGCCATGCTTTTACTCACCACACCATCAGGGAATTGGAATCATTGGAGGTTGTAATCAATGAACATGCAGTGGGTCTGAAATACTTGTTGTACTGGGTGTGGAATTTCGTTTTCAAATAAAATAAAATTCGGTTCAATTTTGAAAAGTACCCTGACATCCACAAAGTGTAGTCTGTGAGGAATATCTACAACACTTGCGACAATAGTCAGCAACTGTGTCTGTGTTGTTTACAAATCATTTTTGTTAACTTTTATTCCTTCCATTTGTTGGGAAAGGTCTGTTTAGGTCAGGAATTAGGAATCCGTACATCTTGTTGCCTATGATTGTGGTTTAGAGTACTGGTAACAGTAGCCTATACCACCATAGCATTTTTTAGTGACTGTCAGTACAATGCTGCCTCCAATCGTATAGAAACAACTTTAGGTGTTTTTTATGCCACTGGGGGCAGCTAAATTGTCTCATTTACTTTACAACACTGCTCTCAAAGGCATGGCTACCAATAAGCAGACAGTAAAAGACAGTAATTAACTTACTATGTGCCCCCTCAGTCATTAACTTATACTGCAACAGTAACTGAGGGCTGAGGTAATCTACATTATTCATTCACTTCAGGGCTGTTTGTTGCAGAAAGTACTGTGTGAAAAATTAGCTGCTGCATTCACCTACTAATACAGTCACTACACTGTACAGTAGATCCTGAAGTCAGGCACCTAAGCCTGTTTGGTCAATACATGACTCTTTCATCCTTTGTCAATTATGTCTGTTTCAATGGCATTTATACCACAAGTCTATAACTGTTTCAATAAAATGTTTCACCCAACTTTTTTTCTTCCATATAAATCCCAAATTTTTAACCTTATGTCCCTAGTGTTTGAACCCTGTAGCGAATAATTTGTCTTTTCAGTTTCCTTAACAGAAAATCTAAATAAGAAAACAACAGCTGGGCGAAGAGGTAAATGCATCTACTCTGCCATTAGCGTATAAGGTTTCAATAATGGATAATTTCTAAGAACTATGCATCTATATCTCTAAGCTGTCATATTTTCTCATCTTGTCTATGGAAAAAATGCTTTGAAAATAATTGTAGATGTATATTTTGCAGCTGCCAAGCGAAAAAAAACTATTGGCTAAAACAGGATTTTAAAGAATTTAAGATTTACAATCCACACATACCAGCTTCAGTTTAATCCTTTTAAGCACATTACATAGCCATGATTATATGGTTACTTTAGGTAATTTGAGTTATTGTTTCCTTTTGATGTCAGCCTGGCTCAGTTGAATGATGTCGCGCCTGTGAATAAGAAGCTTGTGGGTTTAAGCCCACTCTTGGGACATTAAACTCACAGTCTAGGTCAACAATTGAATATAGTTCTGTGGTTGTGTGCATTGTGAGAGTAGCAGTCCTTTGACTGAGATGTTAAATCAAGGTCCCGTCTACCTGTTCAGGTGGATGTGAAAGATCTTATGGCAGTCTTTGAACAGAAGGGTGTTTCGCTCGGTGTCCTGGCTATCAATCACCAGATACAATAGGTTATTCATTTCATGAAGGGGCAATATAAACATTTGTGGGACATTGCTATGCACAAATTGACCTCCGCATTTGCCTATGAAATCCACAGTCACTACACTTCACAGTAAATCCTGTGAAACTATTTGAGATGTTGTCCTTATAGGAAAGGCACTATGTCAAATTTAAGAATTATTATTATTTGAGAGGCCACATCGCAAGGTGAACTTCATATCATTCCAGAAAGTTTTACAGTATTCAAAAATTAATAACTTAAACATGCAAATTAATCTGAAGCAGTCAAAGTGTTTTGAGAATCTTTGGACCAACAACTGGCAAGACTTCTGATTTAGCCTTTACAGTAACTGAGCGCACTTCAGAGGTACCAAAAGATGTGAAAGAAGAGATTTCTAATTTTATAGTCAAAATATTCACTTCACTCATTTTGAATGATAGGCCTTCACTTGAACTTCATAGCTTTGTACAGAAATAATTTTAATTCCAAACATATAAAGAGAATGTGAACGAGAAAGAGAATATAATGCCTTATCAGGTCAACATATTTACAAACGCTTCACAAGTTGTTCACAACAAATTTCACATTTCAAGCACCTTTTACATAGTGAGAACATCTCAAAGCGCTTTACAAAGACTGACCTTGAGTCCAAAATTGGAAGGGCAACAGTAGGGGGAAGGTGGCCGAAGAACCAGCCAAAGAGATTTTTGGGCAGGTTTTGAATGCAGAAGGAAAGGCAGTGAGGCAGAGGGTTAAAATTCAAGGGGTGAAGGCAAAGTGGCTGAATGCTAAGCTGACAATGGTGGGGTGGAGAGCATGGGGAGCATGAAGCAGGCCACAGTTGGCAGATGATGTGGCTGGGCGAGTAGGGTGACCGAAGATCACTGAGTTAGCCTGGGTCAAAGCCATGGAAGTATTTAAAGGCAAGGATAAGAATCTTAAAATTAAATTGCTGAGGATAAGCGAACCAGGCGAAGATGGCAAAGATGGGCTCATGGAGTTCTGGAAAGTATGGAGCTTGAGCTGAGGAGGCTATGAGCAGGACAGTAGAAAAGTCCAGTCTGGAAATGGCATAAATGGCATAAATGGGGTTTTAGCTCTATGATGGTGAAGATTGTCAATGTTACTGTTGATTTAAAAAAAACACAGAAGCTACATAAGCCAAGAAGGTCCTTTCGGGTAAATGACCAATAAATCGGAAAAATTGTTGACAAGGGCACAATGCTCTAAATAATGTCAGGAATCTTTAATGCCCATCTGAACGATAAAACAGGACTTCAGTTTAACATCGTATCTGAAAGATCACTTATTATAATTCTGTTTGTGCCCTTATTCAAGATGTGAGTGCAATTATAAACCTCTATCTCCAAACTAAACTTGAATTAACAACAACTATTTGCATTTATATAATGACCTTCACATGGGGCAGATTAACAGTGGTGGAACCTGATGCCGAGCAGGTGGGAGGTGACCTCAAGCACAGTCAAAGGGAAAAGAAGTGGCAAGGTGGAGGCATTGGGGGAAGAGCGTTCCAAAGCTTCGGGGCATAATGGCTAAAATCTCACATGCCGATTGTGGAGTTGAGGGGTGAGGGACAAGCAGGAAGCTAGAGCCAGCCAAGCGGTGGCAGGAGTCAGAAAGGTAGGGAGGTGCCAGGGTGTGAAGGGATGCCTGAAGGGATGCAACACGTGAAGCAATGCTAGAATTAATGGATTTTCTAGCATTGCTATTGCAATGTGTTTGTGGCATGATAGAACATTATAGCGTGACAGCAGATATTGGCCCATCAACAACACCTGCTTACATTTAGATAGCTCCTTCATGCACAATAATGTCTTGATCAATTGCATTAGGGCTGAGCTGGTACTTTTCCTTCACATGAGCTATCTAATCTCACGCTCCTGCTCCCTCCCCACACCCTTTAATATCCCTGCTCTTCAAGCATCTAATTCCATTTCCACGTTCCAGCCTTTCCTTCTTTTTTTAACCGCCTCTTCTATAATTTTTAGGTATATTTTAATTTTGTGTCCCACATAGCGAGATTCTGATTTTATTTTCTGTAATAATAAATAATCCTTGTATTTGGTGCAGCACTTTTCATATTTGGAGAATGCCCCAAAATGTCTCAATAGGTGCTTCAACTATTAGGTAATACTCAAGTAGAATAATCCCAACATGGGGCTTTGAACACACAACTTTCTGACCCAGAGGCAACACCTATAATTTTTTAGGTGACATTTATTCAGTGCAGGTTAACAATCTGAAGGTAACAATGAGGAATCGAGAATTATTTTTACAGACCATTTAACTATTCACTTTAAGCAGTCCCAGGCCTCATATAATATGGTAAATAAGCAACTTGAGACATGTGATGTACATGACAATTGAAGGAACCTCAATTATTCTTGCTGTCAATGACGGAACGAAGAAACACTGTACTACTGTGGAACATCTTGATGCGCTTTAAACCAAACAAAACAGGGTGCATTTAATTCAGGCAAAATTTATTAGGGGTTGGAATTCACAAAAACACAAAAAGTTTTTCTCTGTAAGAATCTTGCTGCATCAAAGTCAATTAACTGATGTCAGTTGTGAAAGAAATCTTTAAAATCAATTACAGAGAATATAAAGAGTTTTCATCTTACAGGCAACAAATATTGTAATTTTCATCATAAAATGACAGTAAAGAATTTTAATTCACACCAGTGCTGCATGCAGCTGACTAAGTCCAAAAATTCGAAGCTTCAGAATTACGTAGCTTTTACGACCTCAAATTTTGGTGTAACAAAGGTATTGTAAAAGGGTATCATTGAACCTGTCCAGACATTTTTCCTCATTTCCTACTGTTAACAATTACAGTATAAAGACATATGTAATTAGTTTTTTTTTGCTGGTAACACTATTTTGTTGAAGTATAAATTGCAAAATTCTGCAATAAAATACTATCATATACATTTGCACCATCTAAATGTTCTTGCAACGTGCGCACAAGAGGCCGTTAGTAAAAAGGGGGAGTAGGGGAGATGACAGGCCTATGAAAACATGTGAAAAGTAGTGAATTGATGACTAAATAACTGTACAGCAGACATATATACAAAATGCTAGACTGAATACACTGTGGTAAATTCAAGCATTTACGAAAGAAAAGTCACACTTTTTCTTAAAAACTAAGGTGCTGCAGCGCCAACCATTCCTCGTCTGTGTGTGTTGAAAAATAAACATGGCAGTAATACTTGGTGATCTTTTTATTACATGGTATATCTTACTCAATTTTGTATTTAAAAAAATCATGGACGTAATATGGCGTCAACTTGAGTAAATTTTACTAAAACCTTTCTCCAGAAAATCATATATATTAGAAGGAAGTTATTCTGCTATTCAAACTTATAAACAAATTGTACAAGAGATTCTTTTCAGGAGCTTTGAATAGATAATTAAGCAGGAAAGCGAAGGCATTTCCATTTCACTGGGGCAAGTGGCATTCAACGTTGAATGATGCTTCTGATTCCAAAACCATTTTAAAAAAGATACACATCAATAGCACTTCAGTGTGGATGCACCATACAGTGACAAAACTTGCCCACACCTCTGCAGTTGCTGGGCTGAATATACTTTTAAACTCTCATTAAGTAAAACAATTACATGTCTCAGTTCTTCAGAACTGCTGAGTTTTAATGGTCACTGATGTTAATACAACAACCTAGGCTTGCTAACTCAAAAGTGCCTAAGGACTTCAGAAATATGACCATTAAGAGTACTGCATGACTAGAATCAATGATCCTTTGAGAGTTTGTCTCCGGGTGAGATTACTAAATCAACATTTTCAAAACAATCTCTAGGAAATGTAAATTATTATTTAATTGTACCATATATTCCTCAGCACAAAAAAAAAGTGAATGAACAGGGGCACCTATTCTGGGCAATTATCATAGCTGTATGATTTATTGAAGACTACACACTGAACATATTGTGTGTGTTTTTATATATATATATATACGTATATATATTTTCCTCTATTTGACAAAATCATTAATAATAAATGTTAGTGACAGACCATTGTGAGCTTCTGTACCAATGAGAATAAATAGGCATCACTACTGCATGCATGGACAAAAAGTGAGCAAATGAGATTTGCTATAATAATAATTATAAAATAATTTCTCTCAAGACAAGAAGGAAAGACAGATCAGTCTTCAGACAGCATGATCGATGCTTTAAAGCTATTCCTATTTCTTGGCAGAAGATGGTGCTAAAATGATGCGATGCTTCTTAGCTGTAGTCAATCACACAACTGTCACAGAGGCTATGTTCGAGTATCTGCAGACTGAAATTTCATTTAATAACTGTTGTAGATATTGTGCTCAACCAATGCACTGCAGATACAAATTTGTATAAAATTTTATAGTCGCTTCACGTAGTTTCCTGGAAAGGTACCAAATAACTTCGATCGCCGAGAAGTTCCTGCAATTAGAAAGAGAACTTAATTATATTTCATTAATTTCTTGATCTCGATCAGTTCTTTTCCTCAGTGTGTTACTTTAATTGTTATTGAGCACTGATGATAAAATATATCAGATGGACAGCAAACTCCCCCGATGGCACAACTAATAAAGGCATGTAGCGAGACAGTAGAGTAAAAATAATTCTAATAATCCTTACATTTGGTACAGGGCTTTTCATGTCAGCCGGATGTCTCAAAGCACTTCACAGAATATAAGGTGTATTGATTGTGTGTTTTGTAGGTGACCATGGAAGCAAACTGCATGGTTGCAGATTTGAATTCTGGTCTGAGCTGAGCTAGCAGTTGGGGTGCTATAATTGGCCTGAGAGTTCTCTGGGGGAAAATTAGCCATGATTCCAACTTCTTATTATCCGGAAGCCTGGAAGGTACGTGTATGTGATTAGGTGGGTTTGGCTGCAATATCATCTACATCTTGTCTCCCGTTGTAAAAGTTCTATTGGAATAAGGGACACTTGGATGAGGTATGGGATAAACAGCACTCATGAAGCTAAATCCCATGGAAAAAGGAATCAAATAAGGAGAGGTAAATTTAGAGGATCATAAACAGTTTAAATTAGACTTGGATTGCTGGGGGGTTGGTATGAAGGTTACGAAGAGATGCGGTAAATTCCACTTCGGTCAGTATTTCCTGTATGAGAATTTAGAACATGCAGAATTTCTCAAATTGTTCAATTCAGTCTTAATTTTGAAGTCAAGAGGTGTGTGGTTATTTATGCTTGTGTAGAATTAACATGGTAGTAAAATAAAAATCATGACTTGATCAGTGATATATGAATGAAGGCACCAAAGGCAATTGGGTCAGAGTTTTAACATCTAAACTGTATTGAATCAGCCTCTCAGCAAGGCAGCACCTGATGAATTGCCACCAACACTCCATCCCAGAAATACAGATTAGAAACATCACAACAACAACTTGCACTTTATATAGCGCCATCCACGTAGGGTAGCGTCTCAGAGCACTTAACAATGGCGGAGCCTGACTGATTGGAGATCTGCCAGAGGTTAACTGGGTGCCATTACCCAATAAGTCAACACTGAGAGAGAAAATGGAAGAAAAGTGGTAATCAGATCAACATAAAGCAATATTTAAATCAATGATTAAGGAGAGGTGCATCAATGAGCCAGGTGGCTAATTAGAAACTTGTAACATGGCACTCAGCTAGGTGTGTTGTCACACTTAGACCGGGCCTCAACATAACATTGATCAATCATGATTATCATGTGCAATGATGTCAATAAAACAGCCAACCCTGCCAAACTACAATATAAGCGCATCATCATTAGTATGGAAGACTGACAAACCAGTTTCTTTCCAGTCCTTTCAGTCCTATAAACTCACATTGCTTCACATTCCAGTGCTAATGCTAAATTATCCTGAATGCACACTTCCTAAATGTGTTCCGTTTACGAAAAGAACATTTCTCTCACAACCAACAGCATGTAGGACTCCCTTGATATGAACAATGTAAAGTCACCTAGTTCCCCATTGAGACTAAAAAAATCACCTGGTTGGATTCAACAGTCCAGAAAGTTACCCTTTCACTCAGGAGAGTGAGCCAATCTGCTGGCCGGACCATGAAGAGTACATCTACAAGGAAAGACTTTTATGGGCGAAAAAGAACACAATGGAGGCAAACATGAGAGCATCTTTTACTTCAAGAGTAGAAAAGTATTACAGGTAGAATCTTATTAAGCTGTAGAAAATCAATACACATACACACCTAGTGATCCCTTAAACAGTATTTTTAACAGAAAAGGTAAATGCATGATACTTCAATGCAACTTAGTGAAATGCCCATCATTGCACTGTATTTCTGAGCAAAAATACTGTAAAACAGATTAGTGCTACTCAAAACAGTGATAGCTTAATACTTCTGCGTAGTATATATGGTTTGAGGATAACATTAACACATAACTGCCCATTTAGACTTTTTTAGATTCAAGAAAGGCTGAATTCTGGGTATTGGGAGAACTAATCTGCTGAAGCATCATTTGATTCCCTTGTTGCAGGAATACCTTTATCTTAGGTGAGTTGGATGGTCATTCTACAGCATAGCTCTCTAGAGATGATGTTACTTTAATTAAACTGGATTCTTGTTGTACAAGACAATTGTCTGGAAGCAAGGCCATCCCAATAGATGAATTGGATGCTTTTTCTACAGGAATGTTCTTCAGACATGGGGTCACCTCAGCTGCAGGTGAAGTGGGTGTTTTCCCAAGAGGACAGTTTACTAAAGGTAGGTTCACTTCAACCGCAGAAAAAGTAGACGCTTTTTCTACAACATAGATCTGTAGGGGTGGTGTCATCTCATCTATATGTGAAGTGGATATTTGTTCTGCACAATTGTTCACAAGAGTTGGGGACGCCTCAAATATAGGTGCAGTTAATTCTTCCTCTACAGGACAGTTGTTTGGAGGTTGAATCACCTTCATCTGAGGTGAAATGGGTTCTGGTTCTGAGGGACAATTCTCTGGAGGTGCAGTCATTTTAAGCAGGGGTGAAATGGATTCAGATTCTATAGAACCATTCTCTGGAGGGTGAGCCATCTTAACCTGAGGTGAAATACATTCTGGGTTTATAGGTTGATTCTCTGGAGGTGGGATCACCTGAAGCACAGGTGACGTGGAAGCTGAATCTACACACTTAGTGGAAAAGTCTTCAGATGTCTCCTTGGAGCTCTTCGCAGCCACATTCTGGATCAACCCAGAGGGTGGCTGGTTAGACACCAGCGCAGCAAGAAGATTATGTATAGAGCTCATCTGCTTAGACAGCTCTACCCCGCTGCACTGCATAATATTATGCAGATTGACCATGTTAGCGTGCATCTGGTTGTTACCAGATTGCACACTGGCATGGACTCTGTCCATGGCTTGTTTCATCAAATACATACCCTCCTCCGTAACGGAGGGTGGGAGAGGTGCAATGTGGCTGAGATCTGCTTTTCCTGACATATGTTTCCCATTGTCTGCATATTCAGAAACTCTTGCACTGTTTGGATTTTTCGAAGCAGACCTATTGCCAGATGCTGGGTCATCCTGCTGCCCGGCAGCACATTCTGGACTCCTCCCTCTGTCTGGATTGGGTTGTGTGAGGATAGAGGAAGAATATTCATTGCCAGTCATGCTTTGGCCCCAGGGTAACCCTATAGCAGATTCTGGAATGGTTTTCTTAACAGATGAATTGGTGCCAGAACAAAGATGGTCTGAGGAGACAAAAAAAAAATACAAACATTATTTGCACATGTACAGTGGAAGTGGAGACTTATAAAGCACTTATGCAAATATAGTAGAAGTTCATGCAGCAATTAACTGCTGCTGTGGACCATTCTATACAGGAATATTCACATGCAGATTAAAGACGCAAATGTTTATAGCTTCTGCAAACGTTAGTTAAGCACAGTACTATTCTACTGGAAGAATGCATGGAAGGAGAGACTGTAATAAAAACCTACCAGAGAGCTGGGACTCCAGGATGGACGGTGGCATATCAGGTCCAATCTTGATGATTTTCAGAATCTTTCCACCAGCCAAGTTAAGCCTTTCTTCGTTGGCGTAACAGGACAACTTGGTTTTTAATCTTTGGTCATTGGACTTGATTTTTGTTTCATCACAAGTTATTGATTAACAAATCTTGTGAAAGTTAGGGAGGCTTTTTGCTCTCGTCATCCATGTTTGTCCTTTGCCATCCAGCCCTTAGTGATGATGGGCTATTCCTAGGAAAGCAGCTTGATGTTCGGCGAAATAATTGGAAAAAAACAAAATCCACAGACTGGGAGCAATAAAGAAGATTACCTACCCAGATTGTTTGTTTCATTTTTCAACTCAAATGTATCCGCCACACATGTTAAGAGTGAGGTTTGCAAGAGAACTGAACTGATGAAGATAATGTCTAAAGGCACATTCTCCTTGTTTGACACCCACAATATTGTTGAACACCCTCAAATCCTGTGCGGTTTGCTTAAGGTTAAATTGAACACCAAATTGTTTCCTTGTTGACATCCTCCACACACTGTAGTAAGACAATCTGCTGGTTATGACAGGAAGAGGAAAGGGGAGGTCCTTGCAAGGAAATAGGCTACAGGTGGAAGGATTTGATGGGACAAACTGATCTTCATCCTGGGGCTAATGTATGGTGAAACTCTAATGTGGCAGCCTGACAAATATTATCTATCTCTGAATACTGGTTTAGATAGTTTTCAGTATATGGCAGGATAATGGGTATCGTTGTATCTTATTGATCCCAATGCTATTCCCAGACAGTTTGAAGCAATCATTCTACTAATTGTTGTTTAGTTACCAGGTTTCCTTGGGTATAAATACCAAGTCTGCATTTCTGTATGAGTTTACTGCAGATTAATATACAATGTGCAACCAGCAATTTTCTAAGTCAGTTTTATGTGGTAAATTGAAGGGGCTGCCAAGTTAATTTATGAGATGACTAGGTGGGAATTGGAATGTGGTCCCAAGACTACCTCATCATTTTGTCTAACTAGGCAGTGTTGATCATTGATTGACTGACTAATTGATTGATCTGTCCCTATCTCATTGACCTTTGATAACAGCCACCAAGGGTACTCTTTTGCAAATTAAAAAGATCAAGTCAAAGAAACAAGTTCAACAAGGAGAGAAGGGTGCATTAAATAAATAAGAGACATTTAAGAAATGGCGTCGAATCTCTGTACACATTTCATGAAGATGTATTCTCCTGGTGACCCGGTTGGCAATGATTTATGAAAAACAGTAATTGCTGCAATATTTTCCCTTGGAAAACTTGGTTTCAGCTCTAATTGTATAAATCCTACTTCAATAAATGCTATAGGTTTCATGGATCTCAAAGGAGATAGGGTCTAGGGTGAATTCAGCAGATTTGTTCCATTTGTAAATGTATCCCTCGTGGGGGGAACAGACTCTTATTTTATCAACGAATGAACTATACCCATTGGCAATGGTTAATTGGGATGTGAGGAGGTCAAATGATTGCTGTGTGAGTTTAACTATGTCCAGAGCAACAGCTTTAGCTTTGAAATACAGAAGTCCCAGGTACTGAACCCAACCGTAAATATTGAAGGAAACATTTGCTATGAGGGTCTGGATGAAAGTTAAGGATTTCAATCCTCTGGCCAATACTTCATGCTATTCAGATTAAGGGATCCTTCTGAAGTATTTCACATCGACATGTGGGAAAAGATGTAGAGAAAACGCACAAATAAAATGGTGGAACAGACTCGACTTTTTGAATGACCTTTTCCTGTTCCTAATATTTTTTAAAAAAAATACAATGGTACTTTCCCCTTTAGATTATAATGGATAAAGTCATGTTTGGACAGCTTTGGTCCAAAACCTATTGAGCCTATAGGACAACCTACCTTAAACTTGGGTTTCAGCAAGAGGACACAAATTCAGCATAGCTGTTTAGATAACCATGCAAGCAAATGGATTATGGATATCCTTAGTTTGGAAGAATGCCTGGAGTTGATTTTCATGATGGCTTTGTTTCTTTGTTCCTCTTTATTACCACATAACCTGTGGTAAAATCTCATGTGCAGCTTTAATATAAATTCTGGTTCCTGTATTTCTACTGGCCGTTCAGTGTGAATTTGCATGTGTGAAATATTAATGCTTCAGGGGATGGCAGCTTTATGAAATGAAGTCATAGAACAGTGAAAATCAGGCTCGGAAGAATTGTGAAAGAATGGAAAGCCCTATGAACAGTGTTTATGGCTTGTGATGTTGGGTCTGCACCCCCCCCCCCACCTTTCCCCACACACGAAAAACACTGCCTGTGTTGTCTGAGGCATTTACTTTCTGGATTGAGGTCAAGCACACGCAGGGGAATTTATTCATTGCTTCCACCCATTAACTCCTGTACTAATGTTTACTTCCCCATCTATCTGATAAAAACTCAGACCATTAGATTCAGATGTTTAAATTGATCAATTGCTCATTGCAGACTGGCATATAAATTATACAAGTATGCCATAAATATACATACCAACAAACCATCCATCATCACACTTCTCCATGACATCAACAATATCGCCTTCTTTGAGCTCTAACTCGTCTTCATTTCGAGGATTGTAATTATACATAGCTTGGTACCTGTAAGGAAATACAAAATGCAATGTGAGACATTTAAATTTAACCAGCTGTTATCTGCTAAGGTTACTAACAATGAATACAATAAAAGTTTTAATGAATTATTTACTGGGTTATTTTCGGTAATAATCGTCCTTTTCCCTTTTGATAATTTATCTCATTTGTTTTCCAATTACTGTATTGAAGTCAGGTCTGTAGTCTTAGGTGTAGCTCTGGTAGCTTTCTTGAATCCTGTATGACCTTTCTTTTTTCATGGTCTATCTAATTTTGCTATTTTTGTGTGAAATTAAATGGGCTGCAAAAAAAGTTAAAACTTACCTCAACTACAATAATACAGACAAGCACAATGGTTGTTCAAAAATCTAGGGCTGGGAAGCAAGAATTGGATTGGATTCATTCCAAGCATGATTTAAGGCCAAATTTAATGAGTTACAGTACAGAAACCATATTTGCTTATTTACAGTATCTCAGAACATCCCCAATGTCCATTGACTCCCTCAAAAATGTGTTTGGCCTCCTGAATTTGTATTTGCAAGCTACTTCTGTTAGATTATGGCTTTTCAACTCCAATTGTCATCAAGTAGAGATACATAATATTTAAGAAATGAAATTTCTGCCCAGAGAAGGCTTCAAATATTTTATTTGCAATGGAAATGTTATATCCCGTTTAACCATTTAACCAGGTTCAGAACGTTAAAAAAAATAATACTCACGGCTCTCCCCCAGACTGCAAATCATCATGCATAAAGGCTGGTCGTTGGGGCTGTGGGTGAAAAGAAGTATGATTCACTTAAGTTTATTTTCAGAGGAAATAAAGAGAAAACCATTCATACTTTAGAGTTTCTTGCCTGAAACAAAAATATGCCACTTCAAGTCAAAGTAAAGCATTGAAGGCATATAAAAACACAAACCGTAGAGACTAACCAGGACGAGACTGCAGCAAAGAATCCCTGAGTTTACACACTGCCATCATGCATTACACATGCTCAGCTGCACACTGATTTTAGACATACAAAATCAAACCTTTGGTCTCTATAACTTGTCCTCTACAGACTCCATGGAAAGACTCATGCTTTTACTTCCCATGCACAAGTACTGGTTTACAAGGTNAAAAATGTATTGAATTCAGTTGGCACAGCAACAACAACAAAATTACATTTGTATAGCGACTTTCACGTTGGGAGGACGTCCCAAGGCGCTGGACAGACGGCAAAACTAGATTTAACAAACTGAAGCATTTCTACTATTGATGTGAATAGTAGCAAGTACCACTTCTGCTTGTACTTGCTTATGCCACAATGCACAGTTCACAGTGCATTATCAGCCAATGTGACTACTGCCCAGAGTACAAGATCTGCTTACTAAATTGATAGCAAATTCCAAAAATTCATTTAAATCCACTTGAAAGCAAAAGGTTTATATTCTGAATTACAAATTTGGATGCTGGGAATTAAAAAGAATAGGAACATATGGTTGAAATTAAACTTTAAATACATTGTAATTGTTTCATACAACCAAGCTTTATTTTTAACTCCTGTGCTCCTCTCCTAAAATAATTGCACAATGTAACATTTCTGAGGTTAAAACAAAGATATTCTGGAATACAACAGACCTGAGCCAGCAGCTGAACACTATTGTATCACATTAAATGTAAACCTTCTTAGGTTTTATAACAGATGTTCAAAAGTTTAGATTTCCCTTATTAAAATCACCCATAATATTAGACCAATAGAATACTTTAAAAAGTGCAAAAGACCTCTTAATTGTTTCATTTTCACATAGTATTTTTTAAAATCAGAATTATGAGAAAATATATTGCACTACTATTTGTTTAATCAAATTCAAGAGACTTGGAATCATCATTCAGATACACTTTGGAAATTTGAGGCTGTGGTTCAAGAGTTACAAAGTATGTACAGCATGGAAACAAGCCACTCAGCCCAATCAGTCCATGCCAATGTTTATACTTAAAATTAATGCATCTTTCCTATTTGATTCAACCACCGTTTCAGTCAGTGAGTTCCACAATCTGATTACCCTATGCATGAAATGGTTCCTTCTTTTTGATTCCCTAGTCGCTATCATATTTGTGTGGATTTGGGAAATTGACTCAATTTAAATACTTAATTTTTTAAAACAACAAATCATTTTATTTCCAAGTATTATTTTGACTTAGTTCAGGAGTTACGATTTTAAACACCTCTAAGTACAAAACAGTTTAATCTGTGAAAATAAGGCTGTTCATTAATCATACTGAGTAACTCAGCATCTGTTGACAGTGCAGGAATTGTTATGCACAAGCCACTTTTTATTTTTAACGCCTAAAATGGAATCACTCTTCTGTAAGCTTCAGGACAAAACATCTATCAAAGCACATTGGAGTATGGTGGAAAGAAGCCTTATACACAGCAAAACATACTGAAGCATAAACACACCCCAATATGCTACAGAAATTGCAAGAAATTCAGGCAAAGACAGTAATTAATTCAGCACACACACAAACACAATCCAGCAGAAAGCAAACAACTCCACATTTCTGGCAGCAGAGTGCCTCCCGATTCCCCTACCCTATGCGTTGGTGAAAAACTAGGATGCCTGACAGGAGAACTGCAGGATCTTTTAGACATCAAAGGACTGCGAGGCGGCTTACCAACAATCACTATTTCAGTTCTCAATCCAGCCTGTAAAAGCCACAAAAGTGCAGTCAGACTGCCTAAAGTTTTAGTTACTTCACCCACCTCACCACCAACCGAGAAAGAAACACATACAGATCAAACATTATGCCCTAAGGGCGACCAGTGTTCAATTGATGAGCTGAATTAAATGCTACTTTCTCCCGATCAGTAACAAAACATACAAACATGCTAAGATATAGGCCGTCTCGTTCATATTTCTGACAGTCACTGTTCTGACTTGAAGAACACGTTCTGATTGTAGTCGATTGATTTCACTAGTGTATCTGCTGAGAGAATGAAAACCTTTTATCCTCAATGTAATGATTCTTATTAACTGACCTTTTAGATGCAATTCATTACTCAGCAATTGTAGTTTTGACTCACGAGATCACATATTTTGTTCCACTTACAGCTGAGACTACAAGCAGCTGCCTCTGTATAACTACTCATGATCTTGGTTATTTTGGGGGTATTTTTTGTGTGAATGGTTGTGCTTGCCAAAGGATCAGGAAAAGTACAGTCAGGAAAAGGTTCTTCTACTCTGTACCACAATCAGAGTAATTCTCTACTAGTCTGTAAATTTACCAACTTTGGGGTTATCTATTTCAAATGAAATGCCATCATTAATATTTAGCACCACAGATCAGTAAATTTAAGGATAAGCAACAATGTAATATGCATTAATCCCAAACTCAAAGCAACATCTATTGTATTCTATCAGATGATGAATGAGATAGCAGCTTCCTAGGAGTTGGTCACACCTCATTCCTATATTCACATGCTCCTAGTAAGGAAACCAAAAGTATATCACACCACTCTATGGGATCTACTTTCAGATTGAAGTTCCCACAGGCTGGCATGATATACTTTCAGTTATCAAAACGTTATTAGAAATTGTCTCATATTAGACTCCAATTGTGTATTTTTGACTGAAAACCATTAAAATGGACGCCTTTGCTGAAAGGAAAGAGTTAAGACCTAATCCAAATTTGTTCCACAGAAAAGCACCAAGAATTGTGGAAGAGCAATCGGGATAGGAAGGAAGAATTCTTCCCACCTTTCCAACCTTCACTGCTCATCTCCTCTTCAGCAGAAATCTGGGGATATCCATATGCATTCTTGCACCTTGCCATTCTGTGGTGCTCCATCAGGCTTTTCCAACTAACCCAAACCCTGTAAATGCCTATTTTTAATCAGATTTGATGTACTTTTAGATTACCCGGTAATCAAGATAGGTAACAGTAATACTCTTATAATACGGTGGGCTGAAGGACCTTCTTCTGTGCTGTAGATGTCTACAGACCTAAATTTGTATGAACAAAAACAAAATTCTTAGTTGAGAGAATTCCAATGATTCTTTGCCTTTCTTGATACATAACTGGTTCCTAAACATCATCTGCAACAATTAAGGTGATTGCAAAAAGAACCTATAACAGGTCTGTTAAAAACCTGCTAGGAACAATTGGGACATTACCAGCATGGAAACATACCTCACTACACAATAGCAGCAATAGGAGAAATGCTTGCCTACACTTATTAAAACCTTAATCAACAAATCCAAATTCAATATCTTCAAACTATAATGTTTTAAAAATGTTCAACCACACCTTCCATCGCGGACAAAGATGTGGGTCCCTAAATATATTTCCTTTTAACATAATATTTCTCATGGATTACTTCTCCTGTGCTATTGCTCTGTACTTTGTGGTGTTACCATAATTTGTAATGGTTATTTTAAGCTAACAGCAGATAGATGACAGATCAAATTGTTGACTGCATTTCACTCTAATGGTATATGCTATTTTCACAGTGTCTAAACTCCCTGTCCTGTGCAATACACTTTGCCAGCTAAGAGAGCTAAATGCACCTTAACTGGCAGTCAGAGGGGAACTTGGAAAATCCCCAAGCGAGGTTTTCTCTTCTTCTACCAGTTCAGCACTACACCACCCAAATGTCTCTAAGACCATAAATTCAGTGAAGTGGGGATCTAATCTGTGGTACTGAATAAATAAATTTAGCACATTACTGATCCCAAATTTCAAATGAAATTATGTATACAGAGTAATCAGATAGCAATTCAGGGCCTATGCTAATCATTGATATCCTTTTGCTGTTGGCATTGCCCAAGTTACCTTCATCTTTGGAGACCAAGTCTCCGGACTGGATGATGGTTTGGTGGAGATAGTGGGTCTCTGAGGGAGCTGTAGAAGTGCAGAAGAAGGTACAGAGGGAGAAACCTTTGGTAGTGGGGATGAATATGCAGCAGGCAAAAGTGAGGGAGGAGAAGCAATAGGTTTGTCAGTTCCAGATGTTACAGTCTATAAAACAGTTGAACAAAAATGAATAGGACTAGATATGGCAAGATATAGTATTGCAAATGCAGTGCAATCTTTATGTATTATTGAACAAAAACAAGTTGTTTTTTATTGCATATCATATTCAGGCAGCTAAGTTGTTTTTCTTCATTACACTTCAGAAACTGCATTCCATGATAATTAAGGAAGTGATATTAGTATTAAAAACATGCACTCCTCCATAGCAGGTATTAGATTGCTGTCATTGCTAGGAAGATCAGCACACAATTTCATCACTTCTGTAAGCCTTCAGGCAATAGATTATCCTCATACTCCTCAAACAGTCAACATTTTCATGCCACTTTGGAGCATTAACTCAATTTTGAAAGCCAGCTTTGTTTAATTGTTCATTACGTTCTTGTAAAAAACCCCCACAAAATCCCCCAAAAGTTAGTTTTTAGGAGCAGTTTTACAGTAATTGTACCTCAGTATCAATAAGGATTTCGGTCTTATCTTCATCAGACATAATAGGTCTAGATAGAATTGCCTTTGGTGTCTTATAGATCACACTAGGCTCTTCTTTTATAAAGAGTTTCAGAGGCTCCTCAGTTGCATCCAGTGTGTCTTCGGTTTGATCAAGCTTTGACTGGCTTTCTTGAATGGCTGAGAGTAATTCTTCACAGCGCTCCTCTTCTGGTTCATTTCTGAGCTCCAGGTGTTTGTCAGGAGAACTGGTTTCTGATGGTTCTATAATCACTAATGAAATGTCTGTGGCTTCCAAAGCTTTCTCATCAGTAGAGGGAATGGCTGCATTTTTCTCAGGGGTACCCTCAAATTTGTTTGCTAATTGGATTAACTCAGTATTGTGTCCGTGAGCCACACAGTAAACTGGAGACAATGGTGAGGGTGAGATAGCATGAGATAGAGGAAGACATGGTGGGCAATTTGGAGTTTCAGGTGAGCTGGTGAGGTTCTCTATAGAACTGACTGGAATGAAATCACCATACTTATTACAGGAAGCAGAATTTGTTGAGGGAATAAAATCAAATCCAAAGGATGTCACTGCCCAAGATGTACATTCATCCAAATCAGAGAACAGACTATTATTAGGGAATGCAGGGAGTGTTGGGGCCTGGACGGTTGGAGGGGAGGACCCAACTGTCAGTGATATCCATTCACTAGTGATCGCAAGAACTGCAGACTCATTTTGACAGGGTGAGGAGTCATGCCTGACAGCAGGGGATGTTGTATTGAGCCTTCGACAAGAAGCCAACTTAAGAAAGGAAACGGGAAAAATTCAGACATTTTTTCAAAAAAAATGATGGCAATGAAATGCATTTTCAGTAACATAGATGTTACTAATAAATATTGGTTCAGCCAGCTGATAGGATAGTTGAAGTTTTTCAGGTATTTATCCCTACCTCTACTTATTGACAAATCAGACTCAATTTCACAATAAACAAGTCAATTCTCAGAATGTTGTGATATTCTAAATGGGTCACTGACAGGCGCAATTATTTGATGCAAGTTATCCCCCTAATAATAACTATCATTTTAAACTCAGCAGATGCTCCTCTTCAAAATGCATTCTGCTGTTAAACAACAACAACAAATTACATTTGTACAGTGCCTTTCATGTTAGGAGTATGTCCCAAAGCGCTGGGTAGTCAAAGATGTGGACACAAGCTGGGGGTTGGGGTCAGTGTGGTGGAGGACATGCATGACGGGTGGGAGTAGGAAGATGATGGAAGGCCTGGTCGAAGAGGAAACTAACACCAAGATCATTTCACAAGAAAATTTCCTATGCAAGACAATGAAGAAATGACTTTTTCCAAGGAGGAAATGAATGGAGCCTCATCTGGTGAAAACAATGATGTGACTTGCTATTCCCAATACCAATTGTGTGCCACAAAGCAAACATATTTTAAATTTAAAAAAAGCAATATAGTGCTGGATATACCTCTTTGGGATGGAGAGAAAGGTTGCATATTACATGAATGACTATCAGTTAGGCAAAAATTGACCCTTGATAATCTGCACTTGTATGTAACTCCATATGCAAAAAATATATTAATTTCATTAAAAGTATGCAATGTGAATGTTGTTTTGTGCTTATTTTCACCTTTTCAAGCCTTCTCCAATGATCTTTTGAAATCCTCAAACAGTGCACACTGTTCTAAACATGGCCTCAACAATCATATATACAAGATGAGATCCAACACACGCAAATAACCTCGTATTTTAACAAGCTCCTGAATCAAAGCTGAACACTGAAGTTTACTGCTAAAAATCTATTTTTCTTAGCTCCATTTACACGAAAGTAGTAAATGTGCTTTAATGAATATTAAACTAAATAAGAGTGAATGATCACATAGAAATGATGAAATTATTCAGAATCTCAGGTGACTGTAAAGCAGATTTGTAACAGTTTTAGTTTAAGCAGTTAACCTGAATTATCCGCTACTTTCTTTGCAATGAATGGTCAACCCAGATATTGGACGGATCATTTAATATCCCTGATGCATACATAAGCTGAATCATAGACAGTTACAAATCTGGGAGATGACCTTCATTTTGAATGCATTTTTATTCAAATTGAATGTCATCTTTCTGGAATTGTAGGTATAAGATAGGGTACTTATCTATTCACTAAACATTCTTGCTAATAGTTTTCAATCTCTAAAGGATTTGTAGGTATAAATAGGATATTCATTTACTCTGTATAATCTTCCCAAGAAACCCTATTCATCACACTCTTATTAATCCCCACTTCTTTCTACCCATTAGATATTTTTATCTGCTATATTTGATGGGAGTTGAATAAAGAGCAGAATCAAAAGAAAATTAAAATAAAGTAAAATGCCAACATCGCGCAATGCCTCTTTCTTATCTTTTACAACACTAAGATGTTACAATTCTTTCAAAATATGAGCTATTCAATTAGTGAACCTGAGGAACTGGATATTTTCTATTCTTTTGAACAATCATCAAGTTTGAAAAATTCTAAGTCAAATGCGCAGTAAAGTTCCCTCCATTCTTGAAATAAATGTTATAACTCTAACCTCTGAGGAGATGTCCTCCACTACCAAAGTAGAAAATGTATGTTTCCATTTGTCCCATAAGCCATCTGGGGTTAAGTTGGATTGAAACTCAAGAAGTAAAAGAATCAGGTTATGATTTAATAAGTCACGTTCCACCAAAATATCTGAGAAACCATCCAGCTGAAGAGGAGATTCTCATTGAGTGAAAACAAAAACAGAAGTCGCTGGGAACACTCATCAGGTCAGGCAGCATCTATGGAGAAAGGAAAGTCAGTCAACGTTTCGGGTCCACGACCCTTCGTCAGAACTGGGGCATGTTGGGAGAAACACAAAGGGTCGTGGACCTGAAACGTTGACTCACTTTCCTTTCTCCATAGATGCTCCCTGACCTGCTGAGTGTTCCCAGCGATTTCTGTTTTTGTTTTCAGATTTCCAACATCTGCAGTATTGTTTTTTTTCTCATTAAGTGTGTTGGTTTAATTCTTACTTTAAATAGTTATATCAGAAAACATCACTTTAAGCTCTAATATTCTCAAACAACCACCCAGAGTCCTAGTTTGACATTATATGTGGGGTGGGTGGATGACAATGTTTTTTTCTGGTCCTGTACATTCTTATATTTCAGTGCATATTGTATATGACAAACTACCATTGTTTTTTCTTGTCGATAAGCATAATTTAAAAAAAATTCTTATCAATATGTATAATTACAGCAACGATCGTTTTTCAATAAAAGTATTCAAAAATGTCACTTGTTAAAGGTTCACTTCAAGGTTTTCTTATCTCTGGCAAAACCATCTCCAGAAGACTGAAAAGTAAACAAAACAGCAGGGGGCAAAATAAAATCTGATGGTTTCCCACTAATATAACTGTATTATATTAATCCATAGATATAAATGCCACAGTAAATTGTTCAAAAACAAATTAGTTGCCTACCTTTGTGGATCCCAATGTATGGATCCTATCGCTGGAATAGCTATGAGGCAGAGGAGGACCGGAGAACTCTGCAGCACTCTTAAGCTGAGGTTTCTTGAGTACATCTACATAGGTTATCGGAAAGATACCTTGCCGGTTTGTTCCAGGGATCCTTCCTTCATACCAGTTTTGATCTACCCGCCTGACAAGTTTGATTCGTTCACCCTAAAGAGATCAAATATTTCAATTGTATACCCAGAGGAAACAAGTGGATTGAATAATAATAAAGCTTACATTTAGTACAAGGCGTTTCATGTTGAGAGGACATCTCAAAATGTTTCACAGGAAATCCTGTAAAATGGAATTACTGTGGGTTTTGTGGGTGAATTCGACAAAGAATTTCGCAACAGCAATGTCCCATAAACAGCCATGATGTGAATGATCTATTTTATTGGGAGATAGTTGGTGGGACAATGGGAGAAACTCCCTTCTCTCTTTGAATAGTGCCAATATATTTCTAATGTCCACCTGGACAAGCAGACAGTACTGGTCTCGAAATTCCAGTTCATGAACCAACAACAATGATGACAGCCTGTATTTATATAGAGCCCTTTCATGCAGGGTAGCATCTTTTGAATGCTTTAAACCAGGTGAGTCCGCAGTACTCCAGGGCATTGCTGATGACAGACCAGCCAATCTAGCTTCCCACTCAGCTGTTGTTGAGCCTGCAAGCTTAAGCCCTTCTGGGTCGGTGGTCCTCGCTGGGCCAGCAGTGGTAAACTTGCTAGATTATGTACTCAATGGCTAGCAATGCTAGTTTTAGCTGGTGAAACTCCAGCAGTACTCCAACACTCTAGGCTTCCAAGTCTTGGCTCTTGCCAATCTGCGCCTTCCACTCTCTGGAATTAGGTAAGCAGTATGTGTTCCTCCAGGGGGAGAGCGTGCATTCCATTCCAGACACACAAATTTCCATGATTAGGTGGAATACATATGTGGAAGTCTCAGTTTGGTTGGATTCTTTTAAGCATAATGATGTCTGCATGTGTCAGACACCTGGTAGCTGACCAAATGAAACCCAAATATTTTGCCAACATCTCTGAAGCGTCACTCCAATTTCTGCTTTATTTCTAAGAGGAATTGAGACTTATGCTTATTTTCTGCTCTCTTAAAGTTTTGTTTTATCTTGTGCCTAATTCTTGAAGAGTAATTACTGGTACATACTATGGGCCTAGACAAGAAAATTGGACTCAATTTACAAAGCATTTAACTGGACATGTGAACATATTAAAAAAAAAGCTCCACAGATAGAATAAACCAGCTTAGAGAACAACTTGACATTTTGGGGTATTATGAACATAGAACTGGAGACAGTAGTATGAAGCTAAGTTGAAAGAATTGTTAAAACAAATTCAATTTACAGAAATAAGATTTCTAGCAGCCAGAATTACCTTCCTCAGGGAAAGCTCCACGTTGGTATCTGCTGTAAAGTTATATTTTGCAATAGCTTCACCAAACTCCCGAATTTCTGCTGGTGGAGGAGGTCTTGCAGGCTGTGCCTTTTCCATTGGGGGCACCTTCTGCCAGGAAACACAAACATATCTGTCATGAATCAAAGCACGAGTAGTACAGCTTCATAACAACACCATAGAGTGCAGTAAAATAAATCAATACCATGTTATACAGCAGGTGCGAAGAGTTACAAACCTCAACATATGAAATGGGGAATATCCCAACAGCTCCGTGGTGCTCGCCCTCAAACCAATTTTGATCTATCTGCCTGAGAATGTAGACAATGTCTCCTTTCTTGAATGGCAATTCCCTGTGGACAATCATATTTTAAATATTGTTCTTATCACAGGTCATGACTCATGAGCTTTCTATGGCCTTTAGGCACAATCACACTGTAACACATAGGTGATAAAGTGTTTCAGAAGATTCTCCATATTGAATTACCCTGAAGAAAATTGGAATAACCTCTAACTGCTCCATTGCTATGAAGACTTCGTATAGCAAGGATGGCAAAGGATGCACAGGGAGATTGTGAACAGGTGCAGGTTATTGTACAGGAAATGGGACACAGAGGTCAAAGGGCTTTTTTGCTACAAAACATGCAAAAGCATGTTACTGTCTGGAAAATCCTGCTCAGCTGCATTGTTACAGGTTCTGCCATATTAATCACTGGGATAAAAGTGCTGCAGTACAATGTGCTCTTTGTTGTTGAAGAAATCAATAACAAATTTTAACTTCTGTAATTTTCGAAACATCCAAACAAAGATGTTGCAAACAAGAACAAACAGATTTTTTTGAAATTCCAACATGGTCGAAAGTTATATCGTAAAAGTACACTTTAGTACTCAAAATAAACTCTTTCTTGGAACAAATGTAAAATCACCCAAAATTGTTTTTGAAGGCATGGCAAGGTCAAAAAGAATTTTTTTTAAGGAGTGTTCTGACGGTAAATGTAATGGTTCAATGTAATTAGATTTTGGGAGGATCGCAGTGAGTGGGGACGTAGTGGGTGAAAGCTTGGCCTTATAAATAATAATAATAGCACTACTACTACTAATAATAATAATCCTTGCATTTGATATAGTGCCTTCGAAAATATACTGTAAAGTGAATTGACTATAAATTTTGTGGGCGAAACGCGGCAGTGAATTATGCACAGCAGAATGGAAATGGATGGAGAATGTTGGAAATTCTTTGACATTGCTTTGACATTGGAAATTCACACCTATGGAGTGATTGAATTGCTCTCTCTGGAGCAGGAAAGTGACTTTATGAGTGAATTGTATTGACCTGTTGTTGAGCAGTTATTGGTACCAATCGGTGGGCAACAGAACTAAGCTGGAGGAGCGGAAGATATGAACAGGAGATTGGTTACTGGAGAATATTGCACAGCAGAGTGGGGCAAGAACATGAAAGTCAGAATGAGCATCTGAAAGTCGATCTGCTGGGAGTCAGGTTGCTGGAGTTTATAATTATTCCAATTTCTACCTCATCTGGTAGAAAATGGAGGGTGGTGGTCATTGTGGGGGGGGGAAGAAAAATTAAATGTAGACCAACAATATTAAACTGTTAAAACTAAATTGTTGCTTCCTTGCCACTATCAGCCATCAGTGCTTATTAGTGCAAGGAAGCAACAATTTGGTATCACTTACAAATAATTTCCAAGTACCCTCTTGGATTGCTCTATTTGTTTAGTATCACGGTGATCGGGCCTTCAGCCTTTCTGTCCCCACCCTACGGAACTCCATCCCCCAATCCCTTCGCCTCGCTCCCTCGCTTGCCTCCTTTCAAGGCACGTCTCAAAATGCTCCTCTTTGACCGAGCCTTCAGCCACCCTCCTACCCTCCCCTATCCCGACCTCCAGCTCCCTGACTGTCCAGCGCCTGGGACGTCCTCCCGACGTGAAAGACGCTATACAAATGTAATTTTGTATTGTATTTTGTATTGTATTCCATCATGCAGCAGGTCACTACTGCTTAAAACATTACCATCTAGAAAAATAATAACCAAATTACAAGCAGCAAATAAACTATAAACAGTAAATAAACTACAAGCAATAAATAAACAGTACTTACTTTGCGGTTTGAGCTTTAAAGTCATATATTGCCTTAGCAGGCTGTCTCTGAAAAGACAAAATTCCCCATCAGAAATTATTGTGTTACGTGTAATGGGATAATCGTCACAGGTATTAATTATCACAATAGAAATTCATGCCAGTCAGTAAATATCACCCCATTCCCTCCCTAACCTCCCCACCATCAAACTTGATCCAACTGGTTAAGTCAAAGCACCCATAGTGGTCACTGAGTCTGTTGTCGGTGGTTATTTAATGTTGATTTTTGGAAATTGATTTATTTCAGCTTTAAATCTGCTACTTCAAATATTCTTCCTCAGGCACTAGCAACTCACATTACAGGGAAATGCTGTGCTCTGGGAAGCTACCCTGCATGAGGGGTGCTATATAAATGCAAGTTGTTGTTGTGTGCTCTCCAATGGGGCTCCAATGGCACTGTGTGAGCTTGGCTGAATTGTGGTCTCTATCTTTTGAAATCTGAATATGGTGCTTGGAAATAGGCTCCCCAATGGTTTAGGGAAAACGTACAGCTTTTCAAACAGTGCTTTGACTAAAAATACATAGCATTGAAAGTCCCAATCTTTTTCTCCCTCTCAATATGTTACTACAGAATCCAGTTTAAAATTGCACAGTTGCGTGCGTAATTGATAAAGTGTAAAAGCGTATAAGAGTGCAGGTAAAAAAATGTGCGTGAGAATGAGAATGTGTGGCCGAGTGAAACAAGTAAAAGTGAGAGAAAGTATTGTCTTGAATCAGATACCAGGGTTCTGACTAAGTACATGCAGTTTTGCCCTTACATAGAGCAAATGTGAGTGAGTGAATGACTGTATGTGTCGAATGCCCTCTATTAGACTCATACCTCTCTTTGTTCCAAGCGCCTACATATTTCATCTGGCGTTTCCCTTTGATTCCTTGGTGTATATCGACCCATCTCAGAAATATACCTAGGAGATTCCTGATCTATTCGAAATAAAGAACAACAAATTAAAAGACCCATACAAAGTTGTAAATGCCATCGACCAGTTTTTTTTAGCTACTTGGTCAAATGGAAATAATCTACATGATTATTGTGCTCAATATTGCTACCTGTTACTTAGGTACAATAAAACTTGCAATGGTTTTCACCCTATGAAGATTCTGACACCAGATCAAGAACCAAGAATCTAGTATTTCCCAAGGAAAGGACAGATTTCAGTGTATAATTCTTCTATACTTGGAAGAATCCTTCTATCTGTAACCAAATGCCTAATATTTGAGTGGAACACTTGTAAGTAAAATAAATGCCTGCCAACTCACGCCTACCATTTTTACTCAGTAGACCAATCTTAGTGTTTCTCAACTGATAGCACTTCATTTGCATGAATGAATTCTGAATTAATGTTGCCGAGTGTGTCCTTTAGAATAAGACTTAAAGAGATTGTGCTGGTGGGGATAGTAAGCTATTCTGCCTTACAGAGAGGATGAAGTTACAGCGATTATTGATGGGGACAGCTGAGGATCTTATTTTACCATAGCAGCAGCTCAGCTAAATCAAAGTTTGTGGAATGAGAGATTGGCAAACTTTTCCTTTAGAAGATGCTTTTGGAGCATTTCAAACTGTAGCAATAATGGGCAAGTGTGTATAAAGAGTTTGCAATTTTTTTTTGTCTGTCCCAGGACATGTATTTGGTATCAGCTGTGCAGTTACTGCCTTTGATCAGCTACTGTTTGAGTGGAACATTTAACTTGTAAGTAAATTAAATCCTTGTCAACTTGTGGCCTTCCATTTTAACTCCCAGGGACAGTGTTGTGAAGCCTTCAAAGGCTGAGAATGAGAAATTGAATAAATTTGCATACAATGTTTTCGATTTTAAAAGGGCCAAATTATGTGGTTTTAATGACCAGGAATATAAAGTAAGCTGTACATTTTCCTGCAATCCTGCACTGCCTAAACAGATTGTATTATTGTACCGATGCAAGAGCTCAAATTATGCTCAAATTATGCAGCCTCTTCTGATTCTGTACCATCTTTTTGAATCTTACTAATAACACATTCTCTACCAGTTAATGGCTAGTCACCCATGCCCCCAGAATAACTTGATTCAATTACTGCCTTCTTACTCCCCTCTATCTATTGCCCTGCAGTTAGTTAATGGACCTTCGTAACAAAACCATTAGCATGCAATATTCTAACAAGTGTATTTTATTGCAAAATTCAGTTGAGCTAAATTCTGCATAGAAAGCATAAGATTTGGAAGAAGTACATCGAATGGTCTGTGGGTGAGCTAAAAGCGACACTTACCGTTGAGATCTGTTTTGGCCTTGTGCCTAACTACGTGAAACTGCTGGTGCTGGACATATGAAAGTAATATGAGTACCTTGGTCATCACTGAGCACATACAGCAGATATGATGTAATCAATTGGGAGAGAAAACATACCAAACATGGTCATTTTTGTTAAAGGCTCCCTTGTTATGTTGGCAGTTTCATTAACATTAAAATTTATTAATATTGGCTCCTTTTGAAAGCTTTTAAAGTAGCAGATTATTTCCATTTTAGAACTGGGAATATAATATACAGGATTAACTAAAGACCATTGGCCCATCCCAAAATATATAAAAAGAAATTAAATAATCCTAATTTCCTCTCATATCCCTCAACTGACTCCTCCTAGTGAGAGCTCAAACCCACAATTGTTGGTTGTTAAATGGCTAATGTGACATCCTCCTGGAGTGGGGTGGGGGTTAATGGGCCTCTTTGAAGCTGCATGTGTCAAACACCCGGCTAATCAAAAAAAATTAGTCTGTGGGGGAGGGATTCATAATCATGGCCAGGCTTTTGTAATAGGTGGAAAAAAGTGATATTTCCCAGTAAATTTGATAATTATCTGGTTATGACTTATCCTTTTTACTATGTAATAATAATAATAATAATCCTTGCATTTGATATAGCGCTTTTCACGTCAGGAGGACGTCCCAAAGCGCTTCACAGAACACACTGTAAAGTGAATTGACTGTATATTTGTGGGCGAACGCGGCAGCCAATTGCGCACAGCAATGTCCCACAAACAGTCGTAGATTGAAAATGACCAATTTATTATTGGTTTTGGTTTTGGAGGGATTATTATTAGGCTCTGTGTGGAGTAAGGAAACTTGCCCAAGGTTTCGCCCTCCCTGGAATTTAACTCAGGTCTCTCACTTGCAAAGCGAGTGCTCTAACCACTGAGCTACAGGACTCCACAATAATAATACTTGCAATTGATACTTGCAGGGCCTTTCATGACAGTGGGACTTGCCAGAGCTGTACCTGATTTACTGGAAAGTGTAAGCGATTGCATTCTTGTGGACGAAGATTGTTAATACTGTACTATTTATTGATTAATAGTACAATTGTTAAGACTGGACTAATAGCAATATTATATTCAAAGTGGATCGCAAATCAATCTGTAGTGCCTGCAATAGTACTCTATTGATAAATTGATATACTGTATAATAAATCCCAATATATAAACACAGATTTATACTGCTTTTCCTCACAGCAATTTGCTGCAAAATAGCAACAGAAACTGGGCCCAAGTAGCTGGGTGATATAATTGATTAACTTGCACAGGAGTAGAAGACAGGTAAGTCTGCCTCTTGAGTTTGAAGTAATTTGTGGATTACAAACTACACATTAGTATCACTTCCTATTAGTAGCGTTTTACAATGTGGTGACATATATATTAAGGCCAAGCAGGAAAAAAAATAACCTGTTAAAAGACTACACCAAACTTTCTTAACACAGATGATACATTTGAATGTGTTGAAATAAATAACAATGATTTTAAGTGGACTGAAATGGCAAAGTAAAACACACCTTTTCAACAAAAGGAAAATGATTTGGTTAGAATAAAGTTTATTACCTGTGGCTCTACAAAGCTTATGCGAGTTATGTTTTCCTTGATTCTAGTTAAATATTTCCAACTGAAAGTTTATACCTATCAGGAAAGACTGAATATTCTTGGATTCTTTTCTCTTGAACTCTCTTGGACTCTTTTCTCTTGTAAGGGGTGACTTGATAGAGGTCTTTAAAATGATGAAAGGTTTTGATAGGGTAGACATAGGGAAGTTGTTTCCACTTGTGGGGGAGACCAAAGCCAGGGCCATCAATATAAAATAGTCACAAATAGATCAAATAGGGAAGTTAGAAGAAATTTCTTCACACAGAGAGTAGTGAGAATGTGGAACATGTTACCACAAGGAGTTATTGAGGCAAATAGCATAGATGTATTTAAGGGAAAGCTAGATAGGTACATGAAAGGAATAGAAGGTTAGGCTTGAAGGCTTAGTTGAGGAAGGGCAGGAGGAGACTCTCATGGAGCATAAGCACCGGCATAGACTAGTTGGGCCGAATGGCCTGTTTTTGTGCTGTATATTCTAATGTCATGTATTCTAATATTTCTTATATTGGTATAATAACTAAGTATAATTGTGATTGGTCTGAATTGGGCTGTGGCTCATTCACAGGTTTACAAATCTATACACCATCCACCTAGTAAGGGCTCAAACCCATGCTTATCAGATGTCAAACGACCAACTAGTGACTATCCTCCTGGGGAGTGGGAGGTAAGCGGGTCTCCTTGGAGCTGAACTTGGTTTCAAGGTGACATGCCTGACAATTGAATGTCGGAATAGAGCCAGCCCTCTGTGGCAGTCTCAGTAGTCTGGATCCTAGTCAGGTGGGTCCACAGTATTCTTGGCTCAATGGCAGGACCAGGCACTAGGGGTCATCTCACTCTCACATCTCACTCAGCTCCTGTTAACCGTGCAAGTCGAAGTCCTGCCGGGTAGGGTGGTCCTAGCTGGGATAAGAGGCGGGAAAGCTTGCTGGATGAATGGATTGCCTGAAAGGGTGGTGGAAGCAGATTTGATAACAACTTTTAAGAGAGATGTAAACAATTATTTGGGGAGGACAAGTTTGCAGGGCTATGGGGAGAGGGGGAGTGGGATTGATTTGGATAGCTCTTTTCAAAGAGACACAACAGGCCAAATGGCCTCCTACTGTGCTGTATAATTCTATGATTCTATGATATGTACGAATTGCAGACTTCAGCTGTATTGTATGAACCTCAAGCATGTGTTAATGTACTTCTGCTTAAATGTGTGTTCAAAAGAGGTCAATGTGACAAATGCATCCACTGTTTAAGATGTTGTGATATTTTGGAGACACAATATTTAAGACAAAATCTAAAAGTGAACATATATATCATAATATATATGATGCTGACAAGAAGCTGCTCTCACAAGCTGCATACATTTTCCTGGATTTAAAAAAAAGTCAGCAAATTCATTGTGCTGAACTGGACCTTACTATCTACCAAATCTTAATTTTAAAGACAAGATGAAATAATCATGCATCAAAGAAATGTTATGTTGCCTTATTAAAATTCATGCTGTTAAGCACTAAAATAGATGGAAAATTAAATGGTAGATCAGCACAACTCTCAGACACACATTGTAGATTAGGAATTCTGCTCCACCTTGGTAGCACAAAGTGTAATCATTCTCTGGGTTGTTGTTGGTGTCCATATCTTGATAAGAGGCACTAAAAGGACACTTTTCACAATCAGACTGGTACAAGGAAAAGTTTATGTCCTCTGGTTGCTGATGGGAAGGCTGCGGACTACTTTTCTTCCTTAGGACCTTGAGGGATGAATTCCTTTCAGGGATGTCTGGAAGCAGCTCTGTTATAAGTCTGTGTAATATGCTGTTATCTGGTAAACTGCCTCGCCTTTTTTCTGCTTTAATGTGATCATAGATGTCTTTCAAAGCAGAATCCAATGCTTCAAACACAGATGATTTAGATTTTGACTTTTCGGGTTTTTTTTGAGGATTTGAGCCCTTTTTCCTTCTGAAAGGCACTGGACTGACGAGGAATGCTAGCTTTGAAAGGTTGGATTCAGGTTCTGGCTTTTTCGAAGTTGTTTTTTGTTCCTGTTTCGCCCTTTCGTGCTTGAGCATTGTTGTAAACCTCGTGTAGGAAGCTGGACACCTCCCTTTGCAGGAACTAAGGTAATGTTTATGGTTATGGAGATGATGGCTTGAGCCATAGAAACTTTCGGAAGATGTAAAAGAGAAATGGTCAAAGTCACTTTCACTGCAGAAGGAAGAACCTTCAATCTGAATGAAATCACTGAGGTCTGATACCACAGCTTCGTGATCGCTGTCCACCTCAGTATATTCAAACTGGGATGCCATTCTTTGTTGATGTTCGTTGGTCACTTTAATATGAATTGGCACAATAGATTTTGATGAATAAAACTGCTGCTGCAGCATAGAGATCTTTCTGCCATGGTTTTCCTCGTCTAATAGAGATTCAATAGATAGGCGCCGTCTTGGGCAGGCTGCTTTCTTTGGAATTGTAAAGCAGTTATCGGATAAAATCCCCTCAAGATTAGGCATGGACTTTGACTTCTGAATGAGTTTTTCAAATTCAGAGATCCTAGTTGGTACCATATCCCTCGGCACCTCATCGGACAATTCTTTCCAATCTGGAAAGTTGTCTTTGTGCTGCTCCTGTTCATACTGTAAAATCCTGGATTTGACTGAGCAGATCACTTCTGGATTCAATAAGTCTTTGCGGTTTATATGGTGCATTTTTTTGTACAATTTCAAGAACCCTTTGCTACCGTGTGCAGACTTATGGCGAATTCGTGGTCTGTGGCAGGGAGTACTTCCAGGGCCATGTGGTGAGAGCCAGCCTCTGGAGTACTCGTCTTTGGGTTGTTCATCACAAACCAGTGATACCATACTCTCAGACTTTGTCTGAGCTTCTTGGACATAGTCATTTTGCAGCAGATCATCGCAGCTTCGAGACCTGATCTTAGGTGAAGTTGCTTCTTCGGTGCTACTCCAAGCTTCTGCGTTCTGTCGGTTCATCTGCCAGCTGTTCTTAAAAATGACAGCTCTTTTCGGGCTTGGTGTAATAATCACCAAAGGCTGGCTATGGCGGCTACCATAATCTAACTCATGAGAAGCATTCTGGTTTTGAAGTACACAGCTAAGAAGAGGTGGATATGATTTGTTATTATTCCCACCTTTCAGATCCATAGAGCAGCATGGTTAAAAGAGAGACATTTCCAGAATTAACAGGCATATAAGGACAGGATTGCTGTAGCAGTAACTATGATTAAGAAATGTAAAGAAAGAGTCAAGAGAAAATCAGAATGAACATAATTACTATATAATGTACTAAGCTGTAAAAATATTAACCATCGCAGACATAACACATTCTGATTGGTTTCGATAGACACTCAGCTGCTCCCCTTAAGAGTCCTGAAGATTTTAATTGTTTTATGTAAATAATAATAATAATAATAATAATCCTTGCATTTGATATAGCGCTTTTCACGTCGGGAGGACGTCCCAAATATTAACAGTACCCAGACAAAAAAGGGTGTACACTGGCCTTTTAGATTCTTAACTTTGGTGAGCTAATGCGCGTTTGTGACAGGGACAGTTGAATGTGAATGGCCAACAACAACAACTTGGATTTATATAGTGCCCTCCACGCCTGACGGCGTCTCAGAACGCTTTACAGTAACGGATCCCGGGGCCGAGCCAGGGGGAGGGAGAGGAAGGTGACCAAAGGTGCGGTCGAAAAGAAAAGGTCTTCAGCAGAGACCTGAAAATGGGAAGGGAGGGAGCGAGGTGAAAGGAGTGAGGAAGGCAGTTCCAGAGCCTCGGGGCATAGTGGCTGAAGGCACGGCCGCCGAGGGTGGAGCGGAGGACTCGGGGGATGAGGAGGAGGCCAGACCTGGAGGAACGAAGGCAACGGGTGCTTGTTTTGAGGAGAGATGAGGTCAGAGAGGTAGGGGATGCAGAGGAGTGCAGGGACCTGAATACAAGGGTGAGGATCTTGAAATCGATCCTCTCTGGGACAGGCAGCCAGTGCAGTCTGGCAAGGACTGGGGTAATCGGGGAGCGGAGTTTCGTGCGGGTGAGAATGCGGGCGGCAGAGTTCTGAATGATTTGGATTTTATAGATGGTAGTGGTTGGGAGACCAGCGAGGAGGGCATTGGAGTAGTCCAGCCGAGAGGTGACAAAGGCATCGACCAGGGTTTCAGCGGTTTTTGGGGAGAGGTATTGGCGGAGACGAGCGATGCGTCGGAAGTGGAAGAAACAACTCATGGAGTGTATCAAGAGTTGGGTCATTGTATTTTTATACCCTATGGCTGTGTAGTCATTCGTCTGTCTACAACCGGATGACAAAATAAAACTGAACTGAAACGTTCTCTCATTTTTCGAATGAAAATTATTCTCATCAGCTGATTTAGGCAACCAGACTACCCAAAGCGATGACAGGCAGGTGTTTTATAGCATGTGCGCTTTATGCGGGATCTGAATTTATTAACCCAAGTAATTGTATTATAATGGGGTTGGCCTGTATTTTAATAAAACTCCCTTACATGATTACATTGCTCTTAAAATGTTTTAACCACAAATGTAACTTAGTGTACCAACTCACAATTCCCTTTCAGACTACTGTCACTGGTCTAAGCCTCACTTTCAGTACCTCTTATGTGTTGTGAAAATGATTAAACGTTTTCATCTGAACTGCTTTCAGTTCCTCATAGGATTAGATAATAATAATCCTTACATTTGATATAGCGCTTTTCACATCCTCTAGACATCTCAAAGTGCTTCACAGAATATTCTGTAAAGTGAATTGGCTGATCACTTGTGGGCGAAACAGATCCCTATTATATTCAATAAGCAGGACACTGAGCTGCTGGCAGTTGCTTATAAGAATAGGCTTTTTAATGACACGATTTATCAGAAATGAATCACTTTGCGTTTCTTGCATTTTAACACGGGGCAAAGACATTATATAGTAATGCAATGTTCACAAGGTTTAGCGATTACATGCACAAAAGTGTGAAAGCAGTTAGTACTTGGATCCTCACTGCCCGAAAACATCAATTGTTTGCAAAAAGAAACATATTTAAGCAAAGCTAAAAGTGGTCAAAAAGCAGACAATTTTGTAACACTAACACATAAAACATAAGCCTTTATAATGACTTCCTGTACTCCACAAATCAGTTATATTATTAAATATTAAAGCCTTAGAACAAACTGTCATGTTTTAGACAGGTTTATGAGGATGACAAATATGGGTACTTTTAAAAGAAATTATCCCTGATAGTGCCATGATTGTTTCCAACACAATGTTGCCTTGGCCCCATGATAAGAGTGAGTAGTGTTGGTATACCAGCTGTATATGGTGCCTTTGAGCAACTTGGCTAATTTGGCAGAGGGGTGAAGGTGCAGCAGTACAATATGTTCATGTGCCAAACAGCTGCAAGACTAATAAGTGCAAACTCACGTTAATTCCCGCAGGGAAAGTTCAGGGCCAGGGCTGCAGAGCAGAGTTTTGCTTACAGGAAGAGAGGAAACAAAGAGAATAGAGAGCAATCCCTTTATTTCCTTTCAATGCCTCTTAGCTTGATCAAGAGCACCATTTGCACACGAATTGTGTTCTCAACAATTTGATGCGGTGCACGATGGAAGAAGATACAGAAAATAGGAAGAGAGGGGAACAGAAATATTCTCCTGTTGCTGGAGTGAAATTTAAAACAACCATTTAAGTGGAGCAGTCTACAGTCATATAAATGTAATTGGAGCACATGCAAAAATTCACACCTTTGCACACTATTGCAAGAGAACTGAAGACTGTAGCTATAAACCTTGCATCCCAGGAAGAAAATAAAGAATACTACACACACCTTGTAGTGGAAAAATTGTAATCCCCAAACTTACAAGGTTGTTTCAATACTTTCTGAAAAATTCAACAATGCTTTGATAACATAATTGAAATGATCCTCCATACAAACCTCCACTTTGTCAAATAGATTTATAATTTAATAACATTTCTCAAACTAAAGCAACACAAATGCTGAATCTTAGTATCTTTCATCACATTTTGATAATTTGTTTTAAACCATAATTATTGAAAATATTGCTACAACTTGCATCCTTAGTTTAATAAACTATTCAACTATAATAAGTAAATAAGAAAACAGTGTTTATGTTATAAATGGGAATATTTCTGCTCTTAACACTTTATTTGAGCTATCCACTATTTATTTTTCCAGCCAAATTGTGACTAGAATTTTTTTCAAAATGTTAACAATAAATATTAATTGACAAAGCAAAACTTAAACCACAGAAACCACCTAAACATCTCAATACTACAGATACCTTTATTTCTTACAAATACAATTGACACAAACTAAAATCAACGTTAAGAAAATGATTTGCCCTCAAACAGGAAGTTCACCAGAATTCAATGTTCTAATTCAGCATAACTTGTTTCAATTGTTCTGCTCTCTGAAGCTCATTGAAATATTCAAACAGCTTTTAATTATTAAAAATATCAAGCTTAATTTCCTCCTTTGTGCATATGCAAATATCTTACTTTACAACCATGTTTGTTGCTGCAAATTTGTCTTTTATAGGCTTTGAGGAGAAATCTCTAAAGAGGTTAATAGCCAGAGTACACAATGCACATCCTTGGCAGTCAATTCAGGTATTTCATACAGGAGAGATGAATACCAACAGTTCACCTCAAGGTAAAGGCACTATTCCTTTCATTAGAAATTTGATAAAAAGAAAAATCAGTGCCCATTCACGGAGAGTCTTGCTCATTCAGTCACTGAGCAGTCGTAATAGCAATTGTTTGTTTTTACAATTAGAAATATTTATTAACTCTTAAAGGTGCATTTGGACATATTTTTTACCAATTTCAATATGAAGTAAGGTTAAATGAATGTCTTGTGTCTGCAGGTTTCTGCAGCTGTCTTTCCTAATTCCTACCTTTAATTCTGGATGGCGATGATGGAGAAGAACTGGTCAATGACTTCCTGCTTACATTGCTTAAGCCTTGTGGGTCACCACTTTTCTGTGCAGCTTGATCGTTCTGTGCTCTCTGGTGACTCACTGCTGGCTCAGACTTCCGCCTCTTTCTGTAGTCACTTGCTGAACTCCTGGCACTAACAACAGAATAAAATGAGACTGTTTGCATGATTTTCTTTTCTTGTTTTAGTGCTCTGGAGAGTGAATGATCACTTAGTAGAGGAGAATAGGCAGTTTTCGCTTTGTCCATCAACTATAAGTGAAGTAGAAGGACCAGATCCTGTTATTTTCATAAGATCATGATAAGATCTAGAATATCAAAAGCATCGGATGCACCAATATAAAAGTTGCATGATTTGTTTTTCACCCTACTAGAGTGAAAACCTACCTTAATCTGCCTTTGAATCAGAATATTGTGGGTTTAAGCCCTACGCCAGGATTTGATCAGGGCTGCATTGATAGAGAAGTTTAACTGGGGTCCAGTCTGCCTGTTCAGGTGGACTTTAAAGATCCCATGGCACACGTAGGCTCCATATTATCCATAAATCCATATTAGCTTTCCAAAAGGATCCACATAATTTGATCACTCAATCCACGACTGTTTGTGGGACACTGCTGTGCCAATTGGCTTCTGCGTTTCGCCCACAAAATATCGTTACAATAATATTCTGTGAAACAATTTGAGACATCTTGAAGAAGTCTAGAAAGGGGTAAGCTACACAAATATGTGGAAAGGGTTGGTAAATGGAACTAAAGGATTGCTTTTAATAGAGCCAGCACAAATATGATGGACTGTCTGGCCTTCTTCTGTTCTGTAAATTTCTGTGGCTCTATTCAAAAAGCGAAGGAAGTTCCTCCCAGTTTCCTGGGCAACAATCCCCCAGCTAAAATCAGTCATTCTCTTCATTGATATTGCTGTGTGAAAATTGGCTGTTATGTTTGCTTGCATAATACAGTCACTACATTTTACAATAAAATTCTGAAGCATTTTGAGATGTTCTCCCAATAAGGTTCTATGTCAAGGCAAGGATTATTATTGTTAAAAGTTCTGGAATCACTTGCTACATTCTCCCTGCCAGAACGGTAGGAGATAAAGCAACTCACCTGTAAACGTTCCTCTTAGAACAAATTTATTTAACAGAGGAGGTGCAAGCTGTGGGCACCTAGAATTTGTGCATCTATGTTACTATTCTGCAGCCCTGGGCTCTTTAATAACAATCCTTGCATTTAATATAGCTCTTTTTCTAAAATTTTGGAAGTCGTGGGATTATTTGTGACCAATTTACTATTAGTTAATAATATTGGCAATTCTTAAGTCTCATTGATTCATTATATCGTTTTTGTTTTAATAAAAGGCCGAAAATTGCACCTTCCCTTACCCTTTAGGGCCATGTGTCCCAAGGTTTAAAAACATTCACAATTGTAGAAAATTCTTAAATTCATTCTTAATTCTTAATTCACACATCACTTTTCCGCAGATCTTAAACAGAAACCGGCTTCTAAATTAAGACAAAAAATATCTCAATGATCAGGCTAAGACTATTTCAGGTTTGTAACTCCCAAGCATCTATTTATCTTTTTTTTCAAATTGATTATTTTGAAATCGATTCTACGTCTGCTGGATTGTAGTCCACTTTCTAATTTCACTAACAGGAAAGGTTTGAGCATGATATTCAGGACAATTAGTTAATTAAAGAGATGAAGCTGCTAATGTTGAATTACACTGTGCATTTATCCCTGCAAAGTAGCTGCAACCAGTTCAGTTGTGGGCACCACACTTTAGGAACGATGTCAAGGCATTGCAGAGGGTGCAAAGGAGATTTACCAGGATGGTATCAGGAATGAGGGACTTCAGTCATGAGGAGAGGCTAGAGAAGCTAGGATTATTCTCCTCGGAGGAGAGACGGTTAAGGGGAGATTTAATAGAGGTATTCAAAATTATGTGGGGATTCGATAGGATGAACAGGGAGAAACTGTTTCCACTGGCCGGTGGGTCGGTAACCCAAGGACACAGATTTAAAATAGTTACCAAAAGAAGCAGAGGGGAGGTAAGAAGAACTTTTTTCACACAGTGAGTTGTTTGGATCTGGAATACGTTGCTTTAAAGGTGGTGGAAGCCGATTCAATAACAACTTTCAAGAGAAAAGTAAATTGATATTTGGGGAGGACAAGTTTGCTGGGCTATGGGGAGAGAGGGGGGGTGGGATCAATTGGGATAGCTCTTTCAAAGAGCCGGCACGGACACGATGGGTCAAATGACCTCCTTCTGTACTGTATAATTCTATGATTCTATGCTTTTGTAAGGATGAGTGTGTGTGGTCAAACCCTAGACCACAAACACTGAGCAGCAAATGTCAGAAGTAATGTGATTGCACATTATTAATGCTTACCTGGTAGGTCTATCTATGGTTCTTTCCACTGAAGAGTTATACAAGGAAGTCTGCAAAAAAACAGTTGAAGGAAGGCATTAGCTTACTGCAAAATTAGTGAAATGTTTCTTCTATATCCTCCAGGTTTGGCAGTGCCATCCAATGCAATGGTGGAACTTGCTGTCAGTTAATTAGATTAGCAGGAATGATGGAAGTATATATTAAGTATCACAGAAAAAACATACAACAAATCAGGTTGCTTGCTGTCGCGCATCATAACCTCTTAACAGGAGACATTATAGTTGTGCTGCTCGGATGATTTTAATGTTGCCATTAGGATTATTGCCAGAGGAAAAAAAGGAGTTTGTAGATTAATGCATTTTACACAAAATTATTAGAATGTGGGTTTCTTCATCACAAACGGCTTTTGATGCCAAATCCACAACATTTGAAAGGCAATTGAATAAATATTCGAATATTATATTTTGGGTAGAAATAACAGGGATTAGGACAGGTCCAGTGGGAGCGTTAGCACTTCTGTAGACAGAATAGACTTCTCTGCCGTAAATATTCTAGGATTCAATGACAAGCACCTCAACCAAGTATGCAAACTGTGTGCAATTATAACTGAAGTGCATATTCATTCTCCTTTTTGTAAATATATTCAGCCTCTGTTATTCACTGCCAGCATGGAAACAGCCCTGGTCAAAGTCACCAATGACATTCTGAACATCTGCGATCAGGGCTCTCTGCCTCCTTGTCCTTCTCGACAATAATAATAATTAATTAATTATTATTGCTTTCAGTCACCCTCCTTTCCCCCCCTGCCCTCCACTCTCCCCGATCACGACCCCCAGCTTGGATCCAAACCACTGATTATCCAGCGCCTTGGGACGTCCTCTCAACGTGAAAGGTGCTATACACTTGTAATTTTGTTGTAATTGCTATTCTTCACAGAAGCTGCTTGAGACAATATGTGGCAACCTTTCAAAGTGGCTGTTGAGATCACTCTGAATACCACGTGTAATAATTAATAATCCTTGCATTTGATGTAGCGCCTTATCACATCTTCGACACGTCTCAAAGCACTTCATAGGATAAACTGTGAAGTGGATTGACTGTGTGCTTTGTGGGTGAAACGCAGCAAACAATTGCGCACAGCAGTGTCCCACTACAGTCGCAGATTGAGTGACCAAATTATTATTTATTTATTAATTTCTGAAGGGATTATTACTATCAACCTGTGCTGAGATAAACATTTTGGCCCATTTGACGTGCATCTAAATCACTATGGTTCTGCCGATTTAGGAGATCTTGAAAGGAATTGCATTGAAGTCTGTGTTAACTGAAGTGCTGTGAAAACTCTGTCCTATGCCGTTGATGCAGCAACATATTGAAAAACGTTGCTATGATTTATCAATGTTTAAAGCAATCTAGACATATTAATCTTACCTTTCAAAACATTTACAGCACAAACCCAAAAGATGCTTAATTAAAAATGATATTTTAAAAAAATCAATCTTTTACTCATTAAATGTCTTGTGTTTTACCATCAGTACTTTTAAAAGAAATCCATTTGATACTGCACCCTTCACGTTACGGGGATATTTCAAGCGAATCACAGGATTTACTCCAAAGTGTAGTGACTGTATAATTTGTAGAAGTACTTACTGCCAAATCACCCATTGGACCACACCTCACCAAATGTTCACTATCTGTGGCAAGATCCCAATTTTTCGATTTTGATATTTGTATATTTTCAATTGACAAAATAATGTGTAATGTTTGTTTAATGTGGAGTTATTTTATGCTGAAAACATTCATTTGGGATTGAACTGTCCACGGATGATGCCTTCAGTCATAGTGATGCTAAGGAGCATGTGAATAAAATAGAGAATGGTAATGGTAAATGGTAATTGTGAATGCCCACCCAGTCCCAAGCATTGAAGAGAAGCCAGAATATTTTGATGTACAATAATGATGTGATTGTACAATGTATGAACAGTCGGCAAGGTTGGCAGTTGACATGCTTCTAGGCTGTTTGTTTCTGCAAACAACCATTAAAGAAATGCGCGGAAGTAACCTCTTTGATGACATGGATGAGATCAAATTCACTTGATACATTTGGGTGCAATGCCATGTTGCACCACTCTGTGGTGCTGTAGCTCAAGACATTTTAAAATATGCAATACCATTGAGAGTCTGAGACTGAACAAAAGCAATTAACAATTAATTTAACCAATGTCTAGGATGTATAAAATTAGAATCAGTTTGGTAGAGACTCGGAATCTGGTCTATAGTGAAATAATCAACAGAAATTGTAGTTTGTCTACAAACACAGTCACTACACTTAATAGCAATTTCCTGTGAAGCAACTTGAGACATTTCAACATTATAGGCACTATGTCAAATGCAAGTATTGTTATTAGGAGAAACAAGTATTATTATTAGGAGGATTACGTTTTCATTCCTTAATCTCCCACTCACTCCTTCAAGTCTGTGTTTTTAAACAAAGAATAACATGAAGGAAAATCCATTTGAACCCTCAGCTACAGAAGCCATCATGGACCACGTATAGACAATAAGAAGAAAATAATAATACCTATAATGCATCATGTTTTAACCATGTGCATGTACCTCATACCATATATTAGCGTCTGTAACATTCAAATATCTCATAATGCTTATTATAATAACCCTTTCATTCATATCATGTCATTGAAACATCTCAAAGAGCTTTACATGATTTAATGTAAAGTGTAGTGAATATTTGAAGGCGAATGTGTCAGCCAATTTGCGATGTCATTAAACAGCCATGAGTTGAATGGCCAAGTTTATCTGGGGAATTCAAGGTAATTAATGTCATGTTTAGTGCCTTTTTTTAATAAACAACCCCGATAACCATTTTGCACACAACAAATTTCCTTAGAGGCATGAGGTGAATTTCTAATATATCTGGAGAATTGCTGACCGACATTGAAACAAACTTCCCCAAGAAGGATATTTAACACTGCAATGTCCACGTGAACAAGCAGGTAGGATTGCCTCATCTGAAGAATGTTTAAAAAGGTTAACTTTTTGAAAATGCAGGTCTAAAAAAAGGTATTACAGGTAACTTGAATTACAGGTAAGCAATGAAACAGATTGGTGGCTAGTTATACAATAAAACCTTTTCATTGCAGTTTTGAATACAGAATTAAGTACAATTCCCTCTGTCTATAAGTATTTACATGAGTTTAAACATGGTTTACACCTGGTGCCTAGTAAACCCCAACAACAGTTCCGAAGTTCCGTTTTGATTTTTTTAAAAAATAGATGTCATTTTCCATCTCTTCTACACCGATTTGTACAGGTTTAACTTTTAAGATTTTTTGCTGAATAACTGAAATTGTATTTCACAAAGCACGACTTGTGCAGGTTCATGCAGAACTACTGCTCAACCTCTGTGCAACAAATGGATCACACTTCTACTAATCCTGCAAAAAGCACACAAGAGTAACTATTGCACAAACAGTCTGCACACACTGTAAGAGGCACCAAATACGGTCAATGTTGCCAAACCCGGGGATAAAATACCAAACTTTCATGGCGATCTTGTGGGACTGACCCAAAGAACTACTGTGACAATATTGTATGAATTGTGAGTTGATCTTATACCCTTTGACAAGGACAGATCATCTACTGACTGAAGAGAATAAGCAAGTAGTCAACAGAGAACATTGAGTGAAACAAAAACAAATCAGCCGACTTAGAGCTTGAATTCAAAGTGCTAATGATATTAGAGGTAAACAGCAATAGCAATTTGTTGTTGTGATGATGGTGTTATAGATATTGATACCAGATCTCGGAGCAATGTTTTACAGTATTCTCCATTAATGGAAGCTACAAGAAAGCAAACTACTCAAACATTTGTACTTGAGACAAAAATCAGATTCCTTTTTAATATATATTTTCCCTTGCACCCTTCAACTCTTTTCGTTTTGTTGTTATAATTGGTATTATATTTGCAGTCAATGACACCAAACACTCTGCAAGAACAAGAGAAGTCCATTTATTCCATCCAATTGTTTACTTCCTTTCTGCATTTAAACTATTTTTCATCGTCCCCCTTCCCTGGCAACACATCCACACACTTAGAATCCACACTCTGTTGAATCAAGTAATCTCTAGCCCCACTGTTCACTGCTTCAAACATTTCCACATTCAATGTACTAGTTGAAGATTCAGTACATTCCAACAATAAATGTGAAAGTGATGGGAGATAAAGTTTATATTTGAAAATCTTTTGCTGGATCAAAGTAGTTTGCCTGCAAATCTATCTTAATAGGAAAGAACTAAAACTACAGCAGTTTGAAAGCCAATTTTATTTTTAACAACCTGCTTTTGAGCTGAGCTTCGAAATGCATTTCCTTTCGCAAGTAATGCTCGCTAATCACTCACAAAGTGCAGCCTCCATTTAGTGGATCTCGAGACACAGCTAAGTATCAAAACTATAATCCTCTGATCTGCATTCTAATATTTGAATGACGAAGGGAAGAGAAAATAGAAGGGAGTTTCTTCTGATTGATTGAAAATAGAAACAAGAGAAATTCAAGGTGCAAATGTTCAACGATCAGGCAAGTTTTGCTTCCTTTTTCAAAACAAAATTAAATTTCATCAACTAGCTAGATACTGGGTTGAAAGGACCCTGGTCAATCCCACCATCCAGTTCCACAGGTTGATGATGTTTATAAGCTTGAGAAAAAAAATGTAAACCAGAGAAGCCTTGGAGGACCATGACTCTGTAAGAGACTATGTATATGAACCTCAACAGCCTGGAAAATGATATCTATTTAACTGAAAGTTCACATCAAATGATATCAGTGATAATAACCATGAAAGGATGCACTAATGACAGCAAAGTACTGCATTTTAAGAATAAAGAATTAGCAGTTACCTTTATAGTCTCAGTAGAAACATGGGGAGACCTTTCTGGCACATAATCCAAAAGTTTTTTGGGAGGCTGGTGGCACAAGCAGCATATAGGAGGTGAAGAGATGAGTGGAGGAAAGTCAAATGGCACCATGGGATG